CAAGAGTGTGGAGAACTCCATTAAACAACTAAGTTCAACTGTTGTTTTCACTCTGATAAAGCTTCGCCTTCCACCGAAGGAACAACCAGAGTTTAACACAAGAGCCACAAATAACTTCAAGTGTCGTCTAAGAAGAGGAGTGAACACACGTGATACTTATTTCACAGCTAAACCTTTTCGTGAGAATTTAGCCTCTGATGGTGTTCACCTCTCACCAGAATTTCAAGGATATGTTGTTGTTAAATTAATAAAAACTATTAAATACTATAAATGCCTAATGAGAGGCTACTAAATATCAATTTAAAATAATTTAATGAGTAGTTTAACATTGAAATGATAAAATCTAAATAAAAACTATTGTACCTATCCTAGTCTGCACCATTATTATATTTATAGCAGTTTACTGCTAACCTGCAAGGGAAGAATTTATTCAATAAGCAAATTTAAAATTAAAGCTGGGCGTTGCATTAAATGCTGCACTACCTAACGAATTTAACATTATATTTCTTTGTACAGACTATTTGGGGAGGGACGATAACTAGCACAAGTTATGTTAAATGGAGCCCGTCCTCAGATCAAATCCATTCCCACGAGACACCACACCCCCTTCCTCAACCCACTTGGAAAGTTATCTAGATATTAGTGATGGTCTGAAGGCATATTATGCCTCCAGTAATAGTTTACAGTTAACCTCGGCAGTGAAACCATGTTCTAAACAAATTATTCTCAAGGTATAACTTTATTGTATTATACACGTCAGTGGGTGATGTGTACAGGTTCCTTAGCTGTATCATATCTACATATGAAACTGTGTAAGGAGTCAGCCTCCACCACATCACTGCCTAATGCATTCCATTTGTTAACTACTCTTTGAAAAAGTTTTGACGTCTCTGTGCTCATTTGGGTACTCAGACTCCACCCAAAACCCTTTTGTGCGAGTACCACCCATGATAAATAATATGTCTTTATCTACCCCTGTCACTTCCCAAAAGAGTTTTTATATGTGGTGATCATGTCTCCCCTAACTAATCTGTCTTCCAGGGACGTGAGGTTTAATTCCCGTAGCCTTCCTGGTAACTCATACCTCTCAGCTCTGGAACAAGTCTGGTGGCAACACCTTTGAATCGTCTATAACTTTGTCATGTGGTTAACTAGGTATGAACTCAAGGTTAGAGCTGCTTACTCCAGGATTGGTCTCACATGTGTGGTATACAAGGTTCTGAATGATTCCTTACACAAGTTTCCAAAGGTAGCTCTTATGTTGGCCAATCAAGCATACGCCGCTGATGATATCCGTTTGATGTGGGCTTCTGCCCGGAAACCCACTTCGGCCAATTATCAGCCAGATACCCACACCCACATACAGACTGGCTAAGCGATTCAACGGGTTGCTGACTCCTTACGTACCTTGTGCTTTCATACTGAGGTCTCCCAAGGAATTTGTCGACTTACTGCGAGGAGCACGGGCCACGGGGATAAGAGCCTCGTTGGATGTAGAGTCACAATTTACCAACGTATCTGTGGATGAAACGATCGATTGCAGACAGAGTGTATCGTGACCCGGCTTGCACTCCTCTTGACATGCCAGAAAAACATACTGAGGAAACTACTCAAAGCCTGCACTAAAGAGGCACCCTTCTTGAGCCTAGATTGGCACATGTATAAGCAAGTAGATGGGGTTGCCATGGGTTCTCCATTAGGTGTCCTGTTTGCGAACTTCTACATGAGCCCCATCGAGAAGAGGGTCTTATTTGACATGGACTTGAAACCAACCATATACTTTAGGTATGTTGACGACATTTTTCGCAAGTACCTGATGCCAGATTTCTGCAGCAGCTGAAGGAGGCATTTGAGCAGAAATATGTGTTGAGTTTCACTTACGAGATGGACAATAATGGGAAGCTGCTCTTTCTGGATGTAACAGTCACGGAAAGAAGCGGAGGCTTCCACGCTGCAGTCTACACAAAGGAAATAAACATAGGAATGTGCCTCAGTGCCAATAGTGACTGCCCAGACAGGTACAAGAGGAGTGTTGTCAACGCTTACGTCGACCGTGCTCTCAGCCACAGCTTGAAATGGAAGGAAGTCGATGAAGAACTCAGTAGGGTAAGGCAGGTCATAGTCACTAATAGCTTCTCCAACGGTTTCGTTGAAGACATCATAAACAGAAAGGTGAAACGCCATACAAGAGTCGACCAACACAACAGTTGTACCCCTTTATTAAACTATTTTACAGGAACTTCTTTTCGACGGCTCATAAAACGGAGAAAAGGGTCCTGAAAGATATTGTTGATAGGAACGTTATCCCTACAGACAAAAATCTGAAAATACAATTGATAATTTATGATAAAACCAAAAAAACGGCTAATCTGTACATGAAAAACTCCCCAGACACCAAGCAGAACGCTTTGAAGGAAGTGTAGGCTGTGTAGACTGCAATGCGGAAACCTCCGCTCCTTTCCGTGACTGTTACATCTAGAAAGGGCAAATTCCCATCCTTCTCCATCTCGTAAGTGAAACTCAACACAGAATTCCGCTCGAATACCTCCTTCAGCTCCTGTAGATGTCTGACATCAGGTACCTGTGTAAAAATGTCGTCAACATACCTGCAGTATATGGCCGGTTTCAAGTTCATGTCAACTAAGACCTTGTGTTCAATGGTGCCCATGTAGAAGTTCGCAAACAGGACACCTAGGCCTACAGACATATATCAGAAGATAAAAGAACATAAAAACGGCCAATCAACTCATGAAAAACTCTCCAGACACAAAGCAGAACGCCTTAAAGGAGACCAACGTCGTCTATGCCTTCAAATGCCCACTTGGGGACTGTAAGCCCCAAAGAACTCAGTATATAGGCAAGACAACAACATCTCTTTCCAGGCGATTAACAATGCATAAGCAACAGGGCTCCATTAAGGAACATATACTCTGTTCCCACAACCAGACCATCACCAGGGAAGTCTTAACAAACAGCACAGAAATCATCGATAGATACAGCGTTAGCAGGCGCCTCGACATCTGCGAGGCACTACACATCAAAAAGTAAACACCATCAATCAACAACCAATTAATGCACAACTATATTCTACCCACTTCAAGACTCCTCTACCAATATAAGAGCATCAAGAGGAAGTAAGGGCCAATAGGTCCTTTGCAGTTTCTTCCATTCTTATGCTCTCATATATCCAATTAATACCCCATTGTTCCGTGTTCTGTCTTGTGTTTGTCACAAGTTTGTTCACCTCATCCAAAACTGTTGTACCATATCACCTCACCCAAATGCGAGTTTAAATATGGAAGCAAATGACTTGTTTACAGGTTACAGTGTTGTGTGTAAACCAATGTCTTTGAAAATGTAATAGGTAATTACGAAACACTTTCAGACGTTGCGTCAGACTAGAAATAAAAAGGAATTTTGGAGAATTGATTTTTCAATTACCATCGACAGTAAAAAGAAACATAAGAAATATTAAAAAAATTCGTGTTAGAATTATTATATATTATATATATATATATATATATATATATATATATATATATATATATATATATATATATATATATATATATATATATATATATATATATATATATCAACGTCTAACCAAGAAGGAGTTCTGTCAGGAACTTTCACGATAGAGCAAAAGTTTGGATTATTAGCAAGAAAAACTCTCCAGCTGAGTAGGAAGACATTTCTTTCACTAATCAGAGAGATGGGAACTTTATTTACACTCACGGGATTCTTAACACAAACAGAAAAATGCAAGTTAAACAGACGGAAATTTTGAGAAAAATTAGAAGAATTTTTTTCAGACTTGGGAGTTAAGTTAAAGGAGAGTTTAAAGTAAAATATATATCCCGTATTTTCCCACTTGTACACGAATGGGTAAACAGGAGCCAGTATGTCTTCTCCTCTTTGTGGTCCTTGCTGCTAACTACAGACGTGCAGAATGAAATATGCAGTATTTTTGTGTTCTTTTGTGTCGAGAAAGAAAATAAAGAGACCAAAATTCCCTTCCCTTCCAGCTGGTTTTTCCTAGATGGCACAGGGTGTATATACGCCTCCTGCATTTTCTTCCTAGACGGCAGATGGGAATGAAAGAAATTAATCCTCTTTCATTACCATTAGGAGGGCCGGGAAGACCCAGCGGGAAGATTGTGCTCTCACGGCGTCTACTCTTCTCGTGACGAAGCTGTTTCGTTGCTCTGCTCGACTTGTTTAGGACATTGCGTGAAGGGGCAGACCATACAGGCTCGACTTCCTGTATGGTCTGCTCCTTCAGTCATGTTCCAGTATGGTCTGTTCCGGCACCACTAGCATCGACGCACCCTTCGCGCCCTCCATCTACACGACCAGACCCTTCACACCCTTCACCCTGACCCTTCACTCCCTGATCCTTCACTCCCTGTACTTCGACCCTTCACTCCCTTCACCTTGCACCCTGTACCCTAGAGCGTGTGGTTCAGGGAATGTAATTTGTGGGATTTAAGTCCATCAGAGAGTTAAGAAGTGTTTGAGCGCTTCCGCCCGTGTATATCCTCCGGGCTGGCAGCCATACACAGTTATACATTAGCCATACTCCAGCCATACACTGGACTGGTAATATATATATATAAATATTACAAGCTATGTGTATTAATGCAGTGTGTTAATGCGTCAGAAAACACAATTAGTTTAGTATATCTTTCTTGAGTAGTTGTTTACCATCCAGTGTCAGTAGTTGTTTACCATCCAGTGTCAGTAGTTGTTTACCATCCAGTGTCAGTAGTTGTTTACCATCCAGTGTCAGTAGTTGTTTACCATCCAGTGTCAGTAGTTGTTTACCATCCAGTGTCAGTAGTTGTTTACCATCCAGTGTCAGTAGTTGTTTACCATCCAGTGTCAGTAGTTGTGATCAATACATTATTGGTTGTACCTCACACTCTTGTCTCCTTATCTCTCACATGGTAGCAATATTGTGTTTGGATTTGGATTTGTTGTCAATCTTGATTCAATTGTTAATTTTTGTTCATTGCTGAGAACCTAAAGGATGTGTCCTCATTGTTTGCTGTGTCCTCAGTGGTTGATGTGTCCTCACTGGTTGATGTGTCCTCATTGTTTGATGTGTCCTCAGTGGTTGATGTGTCCTCATTGTTTGCTGTGTCCTCATTGTTTGCTGTGTCCTCATTGTTTGCTGTGTCCTCATTGTTTGCTGTGTCCTCATTGTTTGCTGTGTCCTCATTGTTTGCTGTGTCCTCATTGTTTGCTGTGTCCTCATTGTTTGCTGTGTCCTCAGTGGTTGATGTGTCCTCATTGTTTGCTGTGTCCTCAGTGGTTGATGTGTCCTCAGTGGTTGATGTGTCCTCATTGTTCGCTGTGTCCTCAGTGGTTGATGTGTCCTCATTGTTTGCTGTGTCCTCAGTGGTTGATGTGTCCTCATTGTTTGCTGTGTCCTCAGTGGTTGATGTGTCCCCAGTGGTTGATGTGTCCTCATTGTTTGCTGTGTCCTCAGTGGTTGATGTGTCCTCAGTGGTTGATGTGTCCTCAGTGGTTGATGTGTCCTCAGTGGTTGATGTGTCCTCAGTGGTTGATGTGTCCCCAGTGGTTGTTGTGTCCCCAGTGGTTGATGTGTCCTCAGTGGATGATGTGTCCTCATTGTTTGCTGTGTCCTCAGTGGTTGATGTGTCCCCAGCGGTTGTTGTGTCCCCATTGGTTGATGTGTCCTCAGTTGTTGATGTGTCCCCAGTGGTTGATGTGTCCTCATGATTGATGTGTCCCCAGTGGTTGATGTATCCTCAGTGGTTGATGTGTCCTCAGTGGTTGATGTGTCCTCAGTGGTTGCTGGCTGGGTCCTCAGTGGTTGATGTGTCCTCAGTGGTTGATGTGTCCTCAGTGGTTGATGTGTCCTCAGTGGTTGATGTGTCCCCAGTGGTTGATGTGTCCTCAGTGGTTGATGTGTCCTCAGTGGTTGATGTGTCCTCAGTGGTTGATGTGTCCTCATGGTTGATGTGTCCTCATGGTTGATGTGTCCTCATGGTTGATGTGTCCTCAGTGGTTGATGTGTCCTCAGTGGTTGATGTGTCCCCAGTGGTTGATGTGTCCTCAGTGGTTGATGTGTCCTCAGTGGTTGATGTGTCCTCAGTGGTTGATGTGTCCCCAGTGGTTGATGTGTCCCCAGTGGTTGATGTGTCCTCATTGTTTGCTGTGTCCTCAGTGGTTGATGTGTCCTCAGTGGTTGATGTGTGTTCAGTGGTTGATGTGTGTTCAGTGGTTGATGTGTCTTCAGTGGTTGATGTGTCCTCAGTGGTTGATGTGTCCTCAGTGGTTGATGTGTCCTCAGTGGTTGCTGGCTGTGTTGTCAGTGGTTGATGTATCCTTAATGCGGCTGCTGTCCTCAGTGGTTGCAGAGTCCTCAGTGGTTGATGTGTACCCAGTGGTTGATGTGTCCTCAGTGGTTGATGTGTCCTCATGGTTGATGTGTCCTGCTGGGAGTAATTGGAAGATATGCAAGGAAACAGGTATATCCAGTGTGGGTAGTCAGCAAGTGAGAGGCACCGAGGGAGGAAGCTGGGAAAGCCACTTCCATCCACAACTTCAAAGTAGATTCGAGAGGGACTTTGAACTTTAAAGGAGCTATACTATCTTGTAACTAGTACAACAAGGCTAGTTGGAAGGGCATTAAGGTCATGTCCTCACTTCCCCATATTCCCTGATAGGTTAGTACTCAAGTCCTGTAAACTGACATTTAACGTAAATAGGAAACTTTAAGGGTCCTAGCAAGGGTCCCTGTGGTACTCCGCTTGTTTACGGAAGCCCTACATATCAACCTTGTCTGTGACTCTCGGACTCCTGACTGTATAGGTATTCCTTGACCAATGTCAGCGGTCATCTGCTCACTCTCGCCAGTCTCTCTCGTTTGTGTAATAAGACTATTATGTGGAACTGTATCATAAACTACACAACCTGTCCCATACTCTCTGTTAAGCATTATTTTATGTTCGTAAGGATTGATTTAAATTCCCTGCAGCCATGATGGTGCTTGCTTAGCACAATTCTCTCTCTCTCTCTCTCTCTCTCTCTCTCTCTCTCTCTCTCTCTCTCTCTCTCTCTCTCTCTCTCTCTCTCTCTCTCTCTCTCTCTCTCTCTCTCTCTCTCTCTCTCTCTCTCTCTCTCTCTCTCTCTCTCTCTCTCTCTCTCTCTCTCTCTCTCTCTCTCTCTCTCTCTCTCTCTCTCTCTCTCTTTAGGAGTTTACCAAATTATAACTTGATTTTTCTGCAGTACTCCTGCAGTGAAAGATTTATTCACTGCAGTACCCTACAGTGAATGTTTGTTAGAGATATCTGACGGTAGGCGCGTCACCTTCCCGTCCCAACGTCTGTACACTGATACGGCATCCGTCACCCGGACACCTGGTGAGGAAATTTTCCTTTGGAACTGTCAAGTCGGTAAAGACCAGAGGCAGAGTGCGAGCTTGTGCAGGCCTAGTTAACATTTACATGTTAACATGATAAATTATCCAGTCTGATGGCCTTAGTTTCCCCTAGTAATGCTAGTGGCCTCATGATTTTCCTCAGACGATATCTCAGTATTTGTCAGTCTCTCGTCAATGGCTGCTGTCTACTCTATGGTTGCTGTGGTCTCTATGGCTGCTGTGTTCTCAATGGCTGCTGTGTTCTCAATGGTTGCTGTGTTCTCTATGGCTGCTGTGTTCTCTATGGCTGCTGTGTTCTCAATGGCTGCTGTGTTCTCAATGGTTGCTGTGTTCTCTATGGCTGCTGTGTTCTCTATGGCTGCTGTCTTCTCAATGGCTGCTGTCTTCTCAATGGCTGCTGTCTTCTCAATGGCTGCTGTCTTCTCAATGGCTGCTGTGTTCTCAATGGCTGCTGTCTTCTCAATGGCTGCTGTGTTCTCAATGGCTGCTGTCTTCTCAATGGCTGCTGAGTTCTCTATGGCTGCTGTGTTTTCTATGGCTGCTGTGTTCTCAATGGCTGCTGTGTTCTCAATGGCTGCTGTCTTCTCAATGGCTGCTGTCTTCTCAATGGCTGCTGTCTTCTCAATGGCTGCTGAGTTCTCTATGGCTGCTGTGTTTTCTATGGCTACTGTGTTCTCAATGTGTTCTCTGCTGTGTTCTCAATGGCTGCTGTCTTCTCAATGGCTGCTGTGTTCTCAATGGCTGCTGTCTTCTCTATGGCTGCTGAGTTCTCTATGGCTGCTGTGTTTTCTATGGCTGCTCTCTTCTCAATGGCTGCTGTATTCTACGTGGCTGTTGTGTTCTCTATTGCTGCTGTGTTCTCTATGGCTGCTGTCTTCTCAATAGTTGCTGTGTTCTCAATGGCTGCTTTGTTCTCAATGGCTGCTGTATTCTACGTGGCTGTTGTGTTCTCTATGGCTGCTGTGTTATCTATAGCTGCTGTGTTCACTATGGCTGGTGTGTTCTCTATGGCTTCTGTGTCCCCTATAGATGCTGTGTTCTCTATAGCTGCTGTGTTCTCAATGGCCGCAGTGTTCTCTATGGCTGCTGTGTTCTCAATGGCCGCAGTGTTCTCTATGGCTGCTGTGTTCTCAATGGCCGCAGTGTTCTCTATGGCTGCTGTGTTTCCTATGACTGCTGTGTTCTCTATGGCTGCTGTGTTCTCTATGGCTGCTGTGTTCTCTATGGCTGCTGTGTTCTCAATGGCTGCTGTGTTCTCAATGGCCGCAGGGTTCTCTATGGCTGCTGTGTTTCCTATGACTGCTGTGTTCTCTATGGCTGCTGTGTTCTCTATGGCTGCTGTGTTCTCTATGGCTGCTATGGTCTCTATGGCTGCTGAGTTTTCTATGGCTGATGTGTTCTCTATGGCTGCTGTGTTCTCTATGGCTGCTATGGTCTCTATGGCTGCTGAGTTTTCTATGGCTGATGTGTTCTCTATGGCTGCTGTGGTCTCTATTACTGTTGTGTTCTCTATGGCTGCTGTGTTCTCAATGGCTGCTGTGTTCTCTATGGCTGCTGTGTTCTCTATGGCTGCCCTGGTCTCTATGACTGTTGTGTTCTCTATTGCTGCTGTGATCTCAATGACCGCTGAGTTATCAATGGCTGCCCTGTTCTCTATGGCTGCAGTGTTCTCTATGGCTGCTGTGTTCTCAATGGCTGCTGTTTTCTCTATGGTTGTTGTGTTCTCTATGGCTGCTGTGTTCTCCATGGCTGCTGTGTTCCCTATGGCTGATGTATTCTCTATCGCTGCTATGTTCTCTATGGCTGCTGTGTTCTCTATGGCTGCTGAGTTTTCTATGGCTGATGTGTTCTCTATGGCTGCTGTGTTCTCTATGGCTGCTATGGTCTCTATGGCTGCTGAGTTTTCTATGGCTGATGTGTTCTCTATGGCTGCTGTGGTCTCTATTACTGTTGTGTTCTGTATGGCTGCTGTGTTCTCAATGGCTGCTGTGTTCTCTATGGCTGCTGTGTTCTCTATGGCTGCCCTGGTCTCTATGACTGTTGTGTTCTCTATTGTGCTGTGTTCTCAATGACCGCTGAGTTATCAATGGCTGCTGTGTTCTCTATGGCTGCAGTGTTCTCTATGGCTGCTGTGTTCTCAATGGCTGCTGTGTTCTCTATGGTTGTTGTGTTCTCTATGGCTGCTGTGTTCTCTATGGCTGCTGTGTTCCCTATGGCTGCAGTGTTCTCTATGGCTGCTGTGTTCTCAATGGCTGCTGTGTTCTCTGTGGTTGTTGTGTTCTCTATGGCTGCTGTGTTCTCTATGGCTGCTGTGTTCCCTATGGCTGATGTGTTCTCTATGGCTGCTATGTTCTCTATGGCTGCTGTGTTCTCTATGGCTGCTGTGGTTTCTATGACTGTTGTGTTCTCTATTTCTGCTGTGTTCTCTATGGCAGCTGTGTTCTCTATGGCTGATGTGTTCTCTATGTCTGCTATGTTCTCTATGGCTGCTATGTTCTCTATGGCTGCAGTGGTCTCTATGACTGTTGTGTTCTCTATGGCTGCTGTGTTCTCAATGACCGCTGTGTTCTAACTAGCTGCTGTGTTCTCAATGGCTGCAGTGTTCTCTATGGCTGCTGTGCTCTCTATGGCTGCTGTGTTCTCTATGGCTCATGTGTTCTCTACGGCTGCTATTTTCTCTATGGCTGTTGTGGTCTCTATGGCTGCTGTGTTCTCTACGGCTGCAATTTTCTCTATGGCTGTTGTGGTCTCTATGGCTACTGTGTTCTATATGGCTGATGTGTTCTCTATGGCTGCTGTGTTCTCTATGGCTGCTATGGTCTCTATGGCTGGTGTGTTCTCTATGGCTGATGTGTTCTCTATGGCTGCTGTGGTCACTATTGCTGTTGTGTTCTCTATGGCTGCTGTGTTCTCTATGGCTGGTGTGCTCTCTATGGCTGCTATGATCTCTATGGCTGCTGTGTTCTCTACTGCTGTTGTGTTCTCTATGGCTGCTGTGTTCTCAATGGTTGCTGTGATCCCTATGGCTGATGTGGTCTCTATGGCTACTGTGTTCTATATGGATGATGTGTTCTCTATGGCTGCTATGGTCTCTATTGCTGTTGTGTTCTCTATGGCTGCTGTGTTCTCAATGGCCGCAGTTCTCAAAGGCTGCTATGTTCTCAATGGCTGCAGTCTTCTCAGTGGCTGTTGTGTTCTCTATGGCTGCTGTGTTCCCAATGGCAGATGTGTTCTCTATGGCTGCTGTGTTCTCTATGGCTACAATTTTCTCTATGGCTGCTGTGTTCTCTATTACTGCTGTGTTCCCAATAACTACTGTGTTCTCAATCGCTGCTGTGTTCTCAATAGTTTCTGTGTTCTCAATGGCTAATGTATTGTCAATGGCTGCTGTGTTCTTAATGGCTGCTGTGTTCTTAATGGCTGCTTTGTGCTCAATGTCAGCTGTGTTCTTAATAGATGTTGTATTCTTGATGACAGCTGTGTTCTTAATGGCTGCTGTGTTCTCAATGGCTGCTGTGTTCTGAATGGCTGCGGTGTTCTGAATGGCTGCTGTGTTCTTAATGGTGGCTGTGTTCCTAATGGCTGCTGTGTTCTTAATGGCTGCTGTGTTATGTATTGCTGCTGCGTTCTTAATGGCTGCTGTGTTCTTAATGGCTGCTGTGTTTTTAATGGCTGCTCTGTTCTCTATGGCTGCTGTGTTCTCTATGGCTAATGTGTCCTTAATAGCCGCTGTGTTCTTAATGTCTGCTATGTTCTCAATGGCTGCTGTGTTCTTAATGGATGCTGTGATCCTAATGGCTGCTGTGTTATTAATGACTGCTGTTTTCTTAATGGTTTCTGTGTTCTTAATATCTACTGTGTTCATAAAGGCCAATGTGTTCTTAATGGCTGCTGTGTTCTCAATTACTGCTGTGTTCTCAATTACTGCTGTGTTCTCAATGGTTGCTCTGTTCTCTATGGTTGCTGTGTTCTTAATGGCTGTTGTGTTCTTAATGGCTGTTGAGTTCTTAAGGACTGCTGCGTTCTTATTGTCTGCTGTGTTCTCAATGGTTGTTCTGTTCTCTCTAGCTGCTGTGTGGTTAATGGCCACTGTGTTCTCAATGGCTGCTGTATTCTCAATGGCTGCTGTATTCTCAATGGCTGCTGTATTCTCAATTGCTGCAGTGTTCTCTATGGCTGCTGTGTTCTCTATGGCTGCTGTGTTCTCTAAGGCTGCTGTGTTCTCTATGACTGCTATGTTCTCAATGGCTGCTGTGTTCCCAATAACTGCTGTGTCTTAATGGCTGCTGTGTTCTTTATGGTTGCTTTGTGCTCAATGTCTGCTGTGCTCTTAATGGATGTTGTGTTCTTAATGGCTGCTGTGTTCTTAATGGCTGCGGTGTTCTTAATGGCTGCTGTGTTCTTAATGGTTGCTGTGTTCCTAATGGCTGCTGTGTTCTTAATGGCTGCTGTGTTCTCAATGGCTGCTGTGTTCTTAATGGCTGCTGTGTTCTTGATTGCTGCTGTGTTCTTAATGGCTGCTGTGTTGTTAATGGCTGCTTTGTTCTCAATGGCTGCTGTGTTCTGTATTCCTGCTGTGTTCATCTATGGCTGCTGAGTTCTTAATGGCTGCTTTGTTCTTAATGGCTGCTGTGTTCTTAATGGCTGATGTGTTCTTAATGGCTGCTGTGTTCTTAATGGCTGCTGTGTTCTGATTGGCTGCTCTGTTCTCCATGGCTGCTGTGTGGTTAGTGGCCGCTGTGTTCGCAATGGCTGCTGTGTTCTCAATTGCTGCTGCATTCTTAATGGCTGCTGTATTCCTAATGGCTGCTGTTTTCTTAATGGCTGTTGTGTTCTCCATGGCTGCAGTGTTCTCATTGGCTCTGTGTTCTCTATGGCTGCTGTGTTCTCTATTGCTATGTTCTCTATGGCTGCTGTGTTCTCAATGGCTGCTGTGGTCTCTATGGCTGTTGTGTTCTCTATGGCCGCTGTGTTCTCTATGGCTACTGTCTTCTCAAAGGCTGTTGTGTTCTCTATAGTTGCTGTGTTCTCAATGGCTGCTGTGTTCTCAATGGCTTTTGTGTTCTCTATGGCTGCTGTGTTCTCTATGGCTGCTGTCTTCTCAATGGCTGCTGTCTTCTCTATGCCTGCTTTGTTATCTATTGCTGCTGTGTTCTCTATGGCTGCTGTGTTCTCAATGGTAGCTATGTTCTCAATGGCTGCTGTGTTCTCAATGGCTGCTGTGTTCTTAATGGCTGTTGTGTTCTTAATGGCTGCTGTGTTCTTAAGGGCTGCTGTGTTCTTAATGGCTGTTGTGTTCCTAATGGCTGGTCTGTTCTTAATGGCTGCTATGTTCTCAATGGTTGCGGTGTTCTTAATGGCTGTTGTGTTCTTAATAGCTGCTGTGTTCTTAATGGCTGCTGTGTTCTTAATGGTTGCTGTGTTCTCTATGGCTGCTGTGTTCTCAATGGCTGCTGTGTTCTAAATGGCTGCTGAGTTCTCTATGGCTACTGTATTCTTAATGGCTGCTATATTCTTAATTCTTTCTGTGTTCTCTATGGCTAATATGTTCTTAATGACTGTTGTGTTCTTAATGGCTGCTGTATTCCTAATGGCTGCTGTGTTCTCAATGGCTGCTGTATTCTTAATGGCTGCTGTATTCTTAATTGTTACTGTTTTCTCAGTGGCTGCTGTGTTCTCAATGACTTCTGTGTTCTTAGTGACTGCTGCGTTCTTAATGGCTGCTGTCTTCTCTATGGCTGCTGTCTTCTCTATGACTACTGTGTTGTTAATGGCCGCTGTGTTCTTAATGGCTGCTCTCATATTCTGCCCTCTCAAACTCTGACCACTTACAGCCATGACCTCTTTCATCGAACCTTTTAAGAATCTGCTAGCCCACATAATTTCCTCTCTCAGCCTGCCCTCGTGTATCCTGAATTGTGCCTGGATGGGGTTCTGGGAGTTCCTCAATTCCCCATGCCCAAGTCCCCATGCCCGTCCCGGGACCAGGTTTGACTTGTGTCTTCTTGGCTCAACAGGCTGTTGCTCGGAGCGGTCCGCAGGCCCACATTTCCACTACAGCTCGATTGGTCAGGCACTTGCAGAAAGTTTCCAGTTTTTCTTCAAGGCTTCTACATTTGTTCAGGCAATTTTTCTTTTACATGAAAGGAGGATATTGAATAGCCATGGATTCTGATATTCAGACAGTATTCCCTTATTGTGCCAATGGCACTTCTATTCTTAATTGGCTCTGTTCTGCATTTACTTCCATATCGTTCACTCCCGTAAGTTGTTATTTTATTGTGTAAATAAAGGGCTTAGGCCTGAAAATACATGATATTTTCCATGTATATATTTGATACCTCTCTACGACACAACACTTGAAACCTCTGATAACTCTCTCGCCTCCTTTCAAGAGAATATATTTTGAGAACTTTGAGACGACACCAACAGTATAGGTGGTTTACCGTGTCTATGTATGCTATATATGTTTTCCCTCTATTTCAGCAATTATTCCTGCTCTAAAGGGGAAAGTGAGTATTGAGCAGTACTCAAGACGGGACAGCACATGTGATTCCATATGACTACTATAGTAAGGAAAGAGAGGGAAGGGAGAGGAGGAGGAGGAGTGGCCCTTCTGGTAAGGAAAGACTGGAGTTGTGAAGAGATGGAAATTCCTGGCTGTGGAGGATACAGAGATTACATAACTGGAACTGTGACAATGGGTGGACCTAAGATCATAGTATCAGTAATTTACAACCTTCCATT